AGGGCCCCTGAGCTGTGTGCGCCTACTGCATTCCATCAGCACAGGCGTCACCCGAGCTGACCGATCCCTCAGGGCCACTCAGAATCTCCGAAGTCTCTCGATCTCAGCCACGAGAGCTGAGCTCCCCTGTGCCTGCTCTTCAGCAGCACACGACACACCCCCCAGAAAGGTGCAAACCCCAAGAGGAGAAGACCACACATGACACAGCCTGAGCCAAGCTTGTTTTGCAGATGCTGGGGTTCCCAGACACACCACAGCCTGCAGTTTCAGACACAATGCACAGGTATGCACCACTTCGCACGTTCCTAAGTTCTCAAGGCAAGCACGATGAGCCGCAACGCAGGGCATGGGCCTCGCCAGCTCAGCCTGGGTGGACCCTCAGTCCACCACATGGCACCTCTGGAAGCCAGGCCTCCATAGAGGCCACAATACTAGTGGTGTGGCCCTGCACAGCTACCTGTAAACAGCAGAGAGCACAACGGTCAGGCCCACCAGGACCCCCTGGCTCCAAAGCCAGTAGAGTCGTCCCTTACCACTGGGCTGCACTGCTGATGCAGAAAAGCAACTCTTACCCCAGGAACTCCACATACACAGTTCACTATTCCATGAGCATTGAAAACACTTCTCTAGTCTCTGTCTCCTTGCTCAAATGTCCCTTTCCCCGCTGCTGTTCACAGTTATCCTTCATTTTCCCCCAGAAATCTCAGGTACACTGTGATCAAATCCTCCAGTGTCTGACTCATCCATTCATTCCTTCAACTGATTATCTCCTATGACTAGGCATTATTCTAGGCACTACAGATAAACCCAGGGTAGAAAATAATACACAAAACTTAACAGTCAACTGCACAACATAGTAATAGATTATGGCGTTATGAAGAAAGCAAGGAACAGCGTTAAGGTGTCGAAGCAGCCATAAAATGGTAGTGTTTCGCGCAGGTCGTGGGTCATTTGGGCCTCACTGCACACATGAGCAAAGCTGGAGGACGCTAGCCCAGGAAGTGAGTGCAAAGGCAGACTTTTGAAACATCAAGGAACCCAGACCTAGAGCAGAGTGAGTGAGGAGAAGGAGGCAAGGCCAGGAGGGAAAGGTGGAGGTGCTGGGCCGGGTATTCGGGTGGGAGCTTTGGCAGTGCTCTGAAGGATGAGAAGGCAGTGCGTGCTTCTAGGCAGCAGAGTGATGGTCCCACAAGCTCACAGTCTTCTGTGCAGTGACATAAACATTTCCATCGCAGTGCTTCTTGGGCCAACTCAGAAGGCCATCCAGGGCCATAGCTGGTGCGCATGAAGATCCCAGCAGGCCATGCTGGGTCCGCCTGGTGAGTGCCATGCCAGAGCCTGGGCCTCTCTTGCACGTGTGACCCAAGCACAGACTGACATACCTGGGGACACATCACCCCTCTCATTCAGCGCCTTTCCCCTCAACTCGGGAGTGAAGATGCTGAGCAATGTTCTGGGTACCCACTCATTGACTCATCTTTACAAACTTCTGCCGAACCATCCCTGAAGCTCATGGCTCAGGAACTGGACCCCTGACTCCTCACCTGTCCAAACTCGTCCCAGCCACAGCAGTGTTTACCGTGTGACATCACCCACGCTGATGGTTAAAATGTAGATACCACAGGACTTGCACAGAATTGACACAATGAATTTTTGCCACCCATGATTCAAATCTACACTTTAAATAACAAAGGAAAACATTTAGAGGTGTTTTTAACTGTTGAGTTTTCTGGACTAATTTTAAGAGAGCAGAAAGATACGAAAATTGCAGATTCCATAGTTACAGCTAACTTCATTTTGGAGGAAAGTGCCCTCGGCATGTTATCTCTTGCGTAAGAATGGAATCTATGTTTATCTGGCTCTGGGGTATTGCCTGTACATAAGGAGAAAGTTACACTAAGGAAGAATCCTCCTCCCCAGCCCCAATACCCTCCAACACTGGCAAACAGAAGGACACCTACAAGACAACCACCAAATGCAGCGTGTAGGCTGAGGTCCTGATTTGAACAAATCAGCTGTTTTTAAAAAACTGGAGAAGGGACACCCTTACACAGGTATTAGATGCTACTAAGAGATTACTATGAAGTTTATTAGGTATAACAAAGGCACAGTTTTTCTAAATGCCTTTCTTAGAAATATTCACTAATGTATTAATTGGTAAAGTGCTATGATCTAAGATTTTCTTTAAAATACTCCAGCAACAACAACCGAAAAACCCTCTCCCTGTGGGAGGAGAGGAATAAGAAATGAGACGGGCAACATGCTGAAGCCAGGCAATGAACTGTTGAAGCTGGGGAGGGCACACAGAGGCTCAAAGTAGTAGTATCTGTCTGGCTCGGCTTTGAAATTTCCCAAAATAAATTTTTTTAATTTAAAACTATCCTCGGATAAGCCTCACTCTTCTTTTATGCCCAACGCATCCCAGAAAACATGTATGAATACAAATCATAACAAATGCACTTAGGGTTATAAAAATGATGTGTTCCCAAGGAATTAAAAACTGTAAAACCCACGCCGTATCTCTCACCCAGTATCTCTCATTTCAGGCATACCAAATAAAAATGTACCTTGACCATTTCAGCATCCTTGCTTTTTCCTTTTCCTTTATACCTTAATACTCAGGCTTCCATCCAATGAATATGTGATTGGCTCTGGTACATCTAATGCTTCCCATCTTAGTCAAAACAAAATGAAGTTTGGGAAATGTATGTTTCCTAGCATGAACATCACCAATTTTATTTTTCCCCTCATTTGTATAAAATTATAAATTCAGATGATACAGAGAATTCACAACATGTCCAGCAGCACACACTGAGGCACAAATGGGCCCGGGCAGGCCACTAAACTGGAGGCAAGGCAGTGTGCAGCGCCACGCTGAACTCACCACAGACGTCCTCCACTCCTCAGCAGACAGACAGACTCACAGAATGAAAGGGTCCTGACAGGCAACAGCAGCACAGCCTGCGTGAAGCAGAACCTACAAGCAAATCCACCATCTCTCTGGACAAGAGGGCAAGGGACGTTCTTGGCAACACAGTACTCTCTTCTTACCAAACACAGGACTCCTGCTTTTCCCAAGAAATACTATTACATTTATTGGCTGGACTCCGAGGTCAACTCACAGAAGTCTGTTTACTGCAAATACAACCAAATTATCGCAGTAATAATAAAAGCTAATACAATCGCTTTATATGACTTAGAGCTCACTCTCAGTGCATGAAGCAGAGTTATTATTATCCCCAGTTTACAAGTGGTAGAACTGAGGCTTAAGGATGTAAACAAGCTGTCCAGGTCGCATAGCTAAGTGATGAGCCCATACTGATCACTACCTGATGGTATCCAACCAATGGCAGTGTAGGAGTGCCGTTTCGGGTGCACCTGTGGGTGAAATGGACTTGTCTGGGCTTGAACAAAACTGGAACCCTGAGCACCATTGTAATATTACTTTCTGTACGGAAATACATTTTGAGTGTCAAACAATTAATTAATAATCAGTAATTGCAAAAACAAGTTGGAGCCAGCACACAGTTGGTTAAAAGGTTACCAAATAAATTGAAATTAAGAATATATACCAGTATATCTCTGAAATTCAATATATACTGGAATTAAAAATACATACCAGTATTATCGCTAACAGATAATCATAAATAACATCAACCATAATTGGTTGAAGCAAACCTATTCTAAAAAGCAACTACATATACATACTGTCTAAAGCAACTCTTTACATTTGCTTTCCTCTTTATCTTCAAAAGCAATTATCCAGATAAACACTGACAAAGACCAAAGCAAAACATCACACAGCTGTTGATCTGCTCAGTGGCATAAAGTCCCCCTTCTAGGGCTCTGAGACTTGCCTGTGAACTGCTACCAACTTGAATCCATTTCACAAGCCACTACACAGTGACAAAAGAAAAACTGTTTCTTCATGTCAATACCATAAGAAAAGTCCCATTGCTAAGAACATCTTCAAAGCAGTTAAGATTAATTTCCCTCCCATCTCCATTTGTTTTAACTTTCACATTCCCCCAGCTTCCTCGAAGCGGCCAAGCTGGAAAAGAAGGAAGCCAAAACCAGCGCCAGTCTGACTGCCACATTCCAGCCTCCTGCCCAGGCGCTCAGGCAGCAACACACAGTCACCAGGAACAGCCGCGAAGCACACACCAAACAGAAGTGATCAGCTCGTGTAAGTTACAGTCACAGAATCAAGTTTGTTTATACAGTTATCTTAGAAAGACAAAGGTATAATAAGCACCTAGGATACAAACTACTCACTGAGCTGTACCAGCCAAAGCACTCTTTCATTACACTACTGATCTGCATTGCCCTGTTTTGTCACTGGGGCTGACATCTCCTTCCTTAGTAGAATCATCTTCTTGTTCAGTCTCATTTAAGGATTAAACTATTTTTTTAAAAAACAAAACAAATCCTGAGGTTGGAACAAATCTAAAGCGGCAGTATTTCTTGTCCAAGTCTGAGTTTTCCAACTTTGTCCCACAAAAACAATTCCTTTTGACAGAATTAGTTAAGAATGTTTATACAATGAATGTAATTCAAATGAAGTCCCTACATCTCCTTTTTTCATCTCAAAAATGGGCTTAGTAATACCTACACCATTCAACGATGGGACAACTATGAGATAATACACAAAAAGCACCCTGAAATTGTAGGCATCTGGCGAAGAGCTGCAGAGAGCACGCGTAGCTGGCATCACCGGGCAGAAGAGTCCTCTCACCATCCCAGACAAGAACAAGTTCCCAAAGGCTGCGTTGCTAACAGCTAGCAGTGAGGGTACGGAGCCCACCTCTGACTCTAGGCCTCTTACACCGCACAGCCTCCTCGGCACAAGATAGAAAGAATAACCGGGGACTCTGTCCATGGTTCTTGCTAAACTTTTCAGTACCAAGGTGGAAACCAGCAACAAGGAGCAAAAGATGCTTCCCTCTTCTAAATGCTGCACACACACGAGGGAATCAAGGAACAGAATCACCCACACGCACCTCTTTCCATAGCAGAGGTCACACGTCTCAGCCGGGTAATTCTCAGAGCGCTCACTGGGGACGAGCTCACTGGGCTGAGGACAGGAAGCACGTCTGGAGTGTGTTTTTAAAAAGTGGTCACCCTGGGAAACGCAGACTCTTGTGCAATGTTTACAGCTAGGAAATTTTTTTTAAAACCTTGAAACTGACCCACATGCCAATTTTAAAAATCAGAACAAAAGGAAAATTAAAAAGAAGTGACAGAGAGATGGATGCAAAAAAAGAAGAAAACACACTTTCCACGATCTTTACTGACATATGTTTGGAAAGAATTTATCTTCTGGAATTAATGATTTTCTAAAATAGAAATGAAAAACTATGAAAACAATTTCTCTTGTGTAGTAAAACAACTGACTCTGCACAATGTCAAGAGACTATCAATAATGACAATTACACGCACACTTCGTTGTGCCCTTGCTGTTGGCTGGTCCCTGGGTGGTTCACTGTGACCTTCACAATGAGCCTCAAGCCCTGCTGTTATTACTAGCTCCACCCTACACAGGTGGAAACCCAGTCCAGGGCCATTAGGCAAATGGCCTGAGGATACGGAGCCTGAGGATGGAGACTCACCCTTGCCTCTGTCTGACTCTAAGCGCAGGTGCTCCCTGACTGGATGTGAAGGGGCCTGGCCCCGGGCTCACCTGACAATGCTACTCTCCTTAGGGACCCGGGATGGGTGTAGGGGAAAGAGCCTCCTCAGTACCAATGGATGAACGCCACCATCTCCTTGGACACCAAGTCCACGCTGCTGAAATTGGTGAGCTGATCAGTTTAAGTGGGTGCAGCTACGACAATAAGGTGTTTTGAAAGCATAACCATCTGTACCTTGGGCAGGAGCAGAATACAAAGTTCTTTGTAAATGAAAAAGGCAGGCAAAGGCAAATTAATGAGTTCAAAAAAAAAAAAAGCCCAGTGATGCTTTAGTCTACCCTGTGCAATCAGCAGGACTGAGTAGAGGAGAGCAGGACACACTAAGCGACTTCTGAAGCTCCACACTAGCAGCAGGTGACAGCCCGGGGCATCACTTTCAAGATACTCCATAGCGCCTATTTATTTTTGCAATTTGCCTAACTGCTAATAGGAAGATGGACATTATTCCGAGTTTATGTTAGAGATCAGACAACCCAGGCAAAAGCATCTAAGCCCATGAGGAAGGCCAGAAGAAGCAAACTTGCACCAAGTGAGGCTGCTACTGGGTCAAGAGTGGCCCCGACAGCTCCCAGGCAGAGTGAGGAGAAGCTACAGGGGGCTGAAAGCCCCTCCCTCTCACTCCTAGGACCCACTAGGCCATGGCCGGAGCACCAGAGAGTACCCTCCACGATAGTATGGCTCGACCGTGTACCTGGTACACCACACAAGCATTACTTAACTTACTAAGCATTCTATGACCTGAAAAAGATTCAGAAATATTAGTAAATTAATCTATTATTTCACCAACTTTCTTGATTAGGAAATTCTAACAGCCTAGAAAACCCACAACATACCAGAAGTTGCCTTAACAAGCATCCCCCTCAATACTGCCCTCCCTCGGATGAGAGTATCACTTCCTGACAGCTGTTGGCCAGCGTCATCTCAGATGGGACAACACGCTCTCAGAAGCACCGTGCACAGTGCTGTGTACACCATAGCAAGAGGCCACAGCTGGGAGCACTTCTGTACCCCCAGGGCAGGATCAGCTGAAACCAAAGGAAAAGCACTCACACATTCCAGTCAAGAACCCCAAATCATATGGGTGCCCCAAGGCCACATCAAAAAAAAAAAAAAAAGTAGCAGTGCCAAAGGAACAATCACAGAGACGCTGCCAGCGAAAGCCTCAGGGGACAGCAGAGAAGAGAGCGTCAGCAGCTCAAGCTGCTGTGACAAAATACCATACACAGGGTATTTTTGAACCACAGTGTCTTGGTTACTTTTCTCTCGTTGCTGAGACAAAATGCCCAACACCCAAAATGAAGGAAGGAAAGGTTTATTTAGCTTACAGTTTGTGGAGGTTTCAGTCCATACTCGGCTGGCTCCAAGGCAGAGTGGCACATGGCAGAAGGCAAACGTTCATGGTGGCAGAACACAGCAAAAACAACAAGAGCAAAAGGGAGGAATGGCAGCAAGCAGCCTCTTTCCCTCCCTTACATTGTAAACAGGCTACCCCCACCCAGGGGGCCTGTAGCACTCACATAATCTCCATGCCCTCCTCTTCCACAGGCTCAGGAAGTATACAAGTAAGCACCCTGGCTCCCTGCTGAGTCACTTAGCCAAACCTCTAGACTCCCCATGCTGCCACAATGTATCAACCATAATACACAAATAACTATTTCTCACAGTTCTGAAAGTCCAACATCAGGTGCTGGTGGGATTCAGCTCCTGACCCAGCCGCCTTACCCCTCTCACAGCACCCTCCCTTAACCAACAGCAAGGTCATCTCTCTCTTGTCTCTTCTTTGATAGGCACTGATCTCACGCATTAGGGCTCCACACTCATAACCTAATTACCTCCTGGAGCCCCCACGCCAAATGTCACCATGTTGGGAATTCAACGTGTGAAAGAGGGGGATGGAGGCACAGACATTCAGCCCACTAGAGAGACTTCCTTCTTACTTCTGCATCTTTCACTGTGTTTACCGCTAACAAGAAGGCACGAAGCATTATGGGAGCCACAGAATGACTGCTGGTGCACACAGAAAACTCCCATGAACAAAGGCATGCATGTGCACAAGTCTGCACCCACCCGGGCGATGTCACTGCCATCCTGGAGTGGACATGCACCATCTTGCTCATCTAGACCCCTGCCTCACATTTTTGCCTTCCATAGTTCTCCAAACCCAAAATGGCTTTGCCCTGTGGCCCCGACTCTGGTGCTCGCAACCTCCTGACTTTTCTCTCTTTTCTGGTGAGCCTCAGCAGTGGTGGGTCAACAGGGGGGACCCAGTGTTTTTAAGCTCTCCTCCAAGCTCCGCTACCCTGCCGCTGCCCAGCCCCAGAGCACTGGGCTGCTTCTTGCTGCTCTATCTCCCAGCCAGACACAGGTCTGCCTAGACCTAGTCCTGTTCCTGAGGATTCAACGAGGAGAGTGACTACATTAAAAATAACCCTATATGTAATCAAATGAGAAAGGCAAGCTAAGCACACAGGATGCTAGGGGAAAAGCTAAACAACTTCAAACCAAAACTACTAGTACTAGAGGTACGGACTACAAAATTTCAAGGAGAAGTTAGATGAATCTGAAACTAGACCTCACTTCATCACTGCGGATGGAACACACAAAGACGGACAGATTCTGTGAGGGCAGACGCACTTGTGCACACAAGGGCTGAAAGGTTAGATTTTCCTAGGCAACAGTTCCACAAAGGCCAGTCAGCTATCCCAGTGGCTGGCTGGCTTACTCAGTAATGTGGCACTGCAATCATCAGCTACATGAATTTGGTTATTAATCTACAATCTCTGACTTGGACAACACCAAACAAGTTCCTGGTTTCTCTGTGTCTGTCTCCTCAGCTGTAAGACAACGGTTCTTTTGCACAGCCTCAGGCCTGAGAATGCTTTGTGGCTCTGATAAGGTCCAGGAAGTGTTTACAGACTCTTCACTTAGCAAAAAGAACCACCAGATAAATTCAAGTGATATTATTAGTACTGTGTATTTATTCTCAACTTAAGGGGAACCTGACTTTAAATTGCAAGGTTCATGAGACTCTGTCTACCCAGAGGTGCAAGGCCACAGCTCCTCATGTTCACGCGCACAGGCATCAGGGTGCTGTGTGAAATATGTGGACGTGCTTTTAACACTTCAGAATGCAGCAAAGTTAAGTACTAGTGTATTCTAAATATGGATGGCAATTTATTGTTAGTATTTTGCATTACACACTCAAAATATATTTCTACCCACTTGGCAAGAGAACCTCAGCTATTATCTACCATGATAATGTCTCAGTTTTGTGCTGTTAGGAGATTCAAGGTGATACATAAAACCTTCTGTCTTTTAAGTAAAGCATAATAATGACAGATATAAAAATTTACCAATGAACAGAATCATAGGAGAATCGCTATACCTTTACAATGTTAAAAGTAAATAAGTAATAAATCTTTTGAAAAATCACCCAAGTCCAAAATCTGTAGGAATAAGCAAAAGAAAGTAGGTAATTATAAAAAGATGAACTGTTTTTATGAAGATGTTTTGTGATAAAAGTATATGATGTAGCCACCCGGGCAAAGAAGATATTTTTATTTGAAAGCAATCTAAACAGCACACGGATGTGCAAATGAATAAATGTTCCCAAAGTAAATTATTTTTAAATTACTGTGAATGTGAGCTTTGTTGCAGTTTAGTTTGAAATCTGTTCAGACTTTTCAGACAATCCTCGGGAACTCCGGGTATCAAATACTCGCTCCTCTGGTCATGTTAACTGCAGCTGCCTAGCTCCCATTCTGCCCACTTGGGCTGTGGCAGACCAGGCCAGCAAGTGATCCAGTAAGGTACAGCCACCTTGCTGAGGAGATGTTAGGCTTCTGAGGAAGAAACACCCATAAACAGATAACTGTGTATAGCTTCACACTCCAAAGAAAGAAATATACATTTCCAACGTTTAACAGAGATATTTCTTCCAACATTTCTGTTTGCTAACATAACATTTCCAGTGGCAAGAAGAAAATCTTCCTTTTAGTTGGGCTAATTTCCCTAGGTTTTTAGTTGGATGAGGGTGGTAAGTAGAAAGAGACAGAGAAAGAAAGACCACAAATAATATGTTCTTTTGTGAGAAACAACCCACAAGAAAATGTTTTGCAATATTATCAATGGTCACTTGTTTTAACACAATTACATTCATTGACTACAAACTAAACTTGCTCAAAAAGGACAGAACTTCATCTACATCTCTGGCAACTGTCACTTTGACCCTAGTGACTTGTTGACCGGGGCCATATACATACCTCTTCCTCTGTTGACAGTGACTCTATAAAAACCATGGCCTCTCCTTAAATCAGATAATGGCTATTCAGCAGTCAAAAAGAAAGATAACGCTAACCATAAACTTGCTTATTGTC